CCTGGAACTCACTCTGTAGACTAGGCTGGCCTCGAACTCAGAAACCCGAGTGCCTCTGCCTCCCAAGTGCTGGGATTAAAGGCATGTGCCACTACTGCCTGGCCTTAATACACTTCTAACATGCAGATAGATAAACAGGTTTCAGTAAATCATTGTTTATGCTAACTCCTACAGATTTTGTCTCTAAGTGTGTGGAGAGAGACTGACACATGCCCATCTCTATGCTGGGGAGTTAATCTAGGGCCTAGAACATGTTAGGCAGGTGCTCTACCACTGAGTCATATTCCTAGCCTGGTGACCTTTGAAAATAATAGGGTCATTCTCATAAGGTCAACCTTGAGGTGTATCATATTCTAAGAAAAATTATTAGTGTTTGTTAATATCAATGGTCACTTCATGGACTAGGCTGAAAAAAATTTTTTGAGACAGGGTCTCATGGAACTCAGGATATCTACAAACTTGTGTAGCTGCTGTGCAGACACGAAAAAAAATTCACTAACTTATTAATCATAAAACATTACTGCAACATTCTTTTGTATATTAATATTAATAAAGTTGGCAACTTTACAATCTATATTTCTTCTTGGAAAATTTTCTATTTTTAGGAAATGCCCAAATTTTTATTTGGGTCTTTCCACCTATGATAGTGGTGGCATTTCAGGTTCTGAAAAATCAAACAACAAAATGAATATCTATTAAACAAGAACCTTGAAGCTTGGTTAAAAACATGTATCACATATCAAAGGAATCTAGTTCATCCTTTATTTCTTTAAAAAATGATTCCTTTATCGTTTGCATAGGTGTATGGAATGGTTTATATGCTACAACTCCCTGTAGAGTTCAAGGGACAACCTTGGGCAATCTGCTCTCTCCTTCTGCTGTGGAGTTTTTGTCGGAGAAGACTGCTTGGACACGGGTTTAAGATAATGGAAAGTCTTTATTAGCTGGCTTGGAGTTCCAGATCTGACTGTGTAGTCCCCAGCCTTTCTCAGGGTGAACTTTTAAGCTCAAAAACCATGTTCTGCGTTGACATACTTTATTTAACAATAGCAGCTAATTAGAAGTGGGCTACAGTCAGGCAGTGGTGGCCCACGCCTTTAATCCCAACACTTGGGAGGTGGAGACAGGTGGATTTCTGAGTTCAAGGCCAGCCTGGTCTACAGAGTGAGTTCCAGGACATCCAGGGCTACACAGAGAAACTCTGTATCGAAAAACCAAAAAAAAAAAAAAAAAAAAAGTGGACTAGAGAAGCCAAAACCCAAGCGTAGCACAGCTATACTTTCTCAGACTACAGACCGGGACGACTTAGGTCTTTGTTTTCATTTTGTCAGACAGTACTGCCTAAGTGTTGAGTTTTATAGCCTGAATGGTACTTCCATCATGGAGTCAGTTGTCTTTGGTCCTGTTACACTTCTACCATATAGATCCCAGGGATTGAACTCAGGCTTGTTCCATCAGGGATTGTTCCATCAGGCTTGGCAGCAAGTTCCCTTACCGACTGAGCTCCTTACAGAGCCCCAACTTGTTTGTTAGACATCCATTTATTTATTTATTTATTTATTTATTTATGTGTTCCAATGTTCCTTCTTTGGTAGCACATTGATTTATTTGAGATCGAAGTTAGGATTGGAAGATGTACTTCTGTGGTAGAACAATTGTGTACCACGTACCAGTTAGTCCGCAGCCCAGGGGATTCAATGTCCCCCAAAATTATATTGCCTTAGATGAAAAGATAACTTTCCAACATGTACTAGAATTGCACAGGACTTAATAGCTGCAAAGTGATTAGATTTTGGTGTTTTGAATAGATTAAGAGCTATTGGCACCTGCTGTCTCATTAAAATAGGAGACTAGTGCTGCCTTTTTGCTTCATTTAAATACAGTTCACCTACTTGACAAATATTTTTTGAGCTCCTACTTAATGCTTTAGACGTACTAGGGTCCAGCATGCATCACACATCGCAGCTTTCACCTTCAGAGTGACAGCTGGGTGCAGTGCAGATTGCCCAATTACAATACAATCAAAACCAGGATTCATTGCAGTCAGGTACTTCCACTGTGTGATTTGGACTGTGAGGACACGCTGCCCTGGACAGGGTTAAAGATCAGAATCAAACTCTAATGCTGAACTTAATTGACAGGCTGCTAATTACAACTCTGAATTCCTTCAAGGAATTTAACGTTGTCCTAAAACATCAAACCACAGTAACGGTTTTAGTCTCTTTAAGTAGTCCCGGTTCGATTACAACAGCAGGGAAATATGCTTGAAGGTCTGCAATTTGCTTCAAATCAGTCCTGGCTTGCTTATTTATAATCTGATTCTGGTAGATCCAGTTAGGGCGGGAGGTTTCCGGATCGGTGCCAACCTCGAGAATGCCTCAGGGGCTAGGCTTTAGCGCCCGGGAAGTTAGGAGCCATCCCATGACGCAGTCGCCCAGACGACTCAGTTTCACGACCGGCCGGGAGGCCGAGTTAACAAGAAGCGACTCGGGACTCGCCCGAATCGGTCCAGGGCGTTTAGCCCTTTAACAGTAGGGTTAGGCGTCGGAGGAAAGCGGCGCTTCCGGGCGGAAGCAGCTGCGTAGTCGGTTTTCCGGCCTTTTCCTCATTGAGAGTGCTTCTGACGCACTCTGGGCCGCCGTCTCAGAATGACCCAGGCTCGTTAACTGCAGTTCAAAAGTAGGGCGACACTTAAAACTCTAAAAGTCTCCTTAGAACAAGGCCGAGCAGCCAGCAGATAAGAAAGCCCATTCGGGACCTTTGGGCCCGACAAGACCCTTGCCCATCCCCCTGTCGGCTACATCTCGCGAGATCGGTCACGCGACTTCCCAGAAAGCCTTGGGCTACATCTCAACAGCGGTTCTAGAGCCGCGCCTGGGTGGGAGGGTGGGAGGGGCCTGCCTCGATATTTAGCGGCATTGAAGGCCACGCCCCAAGTCGGAAGTGACGGAGCCGAGCTAGCGCGACCAGGCCACCTCTATGGTCTTCCTCTCCTTCTGGAGTCGGGAAATGGCCGCTGTGTAGTTACAACGGAGGTAAATCCCGAAAACCGTGCTTCGGCGTGTCAGGTAGGCCTTGTGCTGCATTCAAGTCACTCAAAAGAAAAAAAGTCGAGGAGACAGGACGGTTGGGTATTGACAACTCTCATGCGTGGTGACTGATCGGCGGCGAGAAAGGAGACCCCCGAGCCGTTACTTATACGTTTTCATCCTCACTTCCTCGGGGTTGGAAGGCGCCGCGGGCCGCAGGGGTGGGGGATGGGGAGCTGCGCGATCAGCGGGCTGGGCTACGAACCTGGCTCCGGTCCGGAGACCGTGAGGCGTGCGCGTGCGCAAACCTCTCCAACCCTTCCCCCACGGCTTCAGCCCGGGCTCCTGCGCGCGCCCGACTCCGGGCTCTGCGCAGGCGTGCTTTTTTTCCTTTCTTTCCTGCCCATGGCAACGCTGCCGCGTGTGTTGGCTTCGGAGCCAGCTTGTCGTTGGCCTTGGGGGAGGTGTCTTCTCCCTTCCTGGCCTAGCCTTTGGGGCTTGGCTGAGATAAACGGCGACCTGCGACAAAGTTAAGCGAGCGGATCAACCACTTCATGTGTGGCGGTTCAGCTGCCTTCCTCGCCTCTTTAGGGTACATATGTCGGTTTAGGCCCAGTTTAATCAGATGGAGGCTTTTGATCTGTTGCTCGTAGCCGACTGGCCAGCACCTGGATATTGGCGCCAAAGTTTTTCGTTTTGGCTCCCTATCAACTCACTCGGTTCTAGGCGATCAGTCGGTGCGTAGTTACTCTTTCCAGCGGGATTCGGGGCGTCTGAGAAGGGCCCTTTCTCAGTAATCTAAGCGCTGACATACCTTTTTTGCTAAGAGTTGGCACTCCGTAGAAATTCAGAATATTGACAGCGGTGATTTGTGGGGTAAATGGATGAGGAAGATAAGTTGAGGTTATAGTTCTGTCCCCCAGAGGCCTTGAACTCCCAGTTAATCTCCTGCCTCTTCGGGAGAGGTGGGATAATGGTTTTTACTACTTCAGACCCCTTCTGAGTTTTAAGATTTGTTTTCTTGGTCTGGGGAGTGACCAGAATAGTATCCCAGACGAGCTTCTTGGTCCCAAGTGTTTTCGAACTACGGGGATTCTCCGTGTATTGCCGTGTTTGGGTTATAGATGTGCAAATTCATGCCCAACATATTTTAGGTTTATATAGCCAAAAAAGTCTAGGATCAGTACTTTCTACATTTTTTTTAATTTTAATTTTTCTATTATAATTGAAAAGGAAAAAAGACAGAAATTGAAAGCGTATATACCTAAAACCGTTAGTGACTTCAAACTTATATCCTGTTGTTACAGCACATATATATTTTTATATTAAAAGGGAAACGTAGAACAAAATGTCTTCTCCTCACTATGAGTTTGCACTCTTGGTTAACCCTAACCAAGAGTTAGGTACTGTGCAACAGCATATTTGCATTTTTGTGTGATTCTAACCAAATTCAGGGTAATGTGATGGGATGTATGTCTCTAAAGTAGTTCATAGTAAACAACCGAGATTGCCAGTGTTGGAATAACAGGCTCCAGCCACCATACCCAGTTTATGTGGTGCTGAGAATCAAACCCGGGGCTTTGTGCTGCTGGAAAGCTCTGTCAGCTGAGCATACCCCCTGCCTTAGAGCTAATTTTTGTCTTAGAAAACAGTAGTTAATTTTAGGACTTGAAAGCCGATCTCAGTGATTAGGCTAGTATCTAGTTGAATTTTTTTGAAAAGCTTAATGTGGGGGGCAAACTAAGCAGCATTAGATTATCTGTGATGTAAAAGAAGTGGAGAAAACTTTTTCCAGGTGTTCATAGCTCTTTTGATTGGTAATTCTCAAGGAACTGTATTTGAAATCATTGATGGAACATTATCCACTCTCTGCTGTGTAATTTTCATGATAGGTTAATGAGAGACTCTAGAAGACCAGGATATCTCTGGGTAGTAATTGTAGTGGTTAATAAGAGAATCTAGAAGATCAGTGTGTCTCTAGGTAGTAATTGTAAGTGGTTGTGGCTGGAGGATATGGGTTTGTGCATTATTGCTTTTTAAACAGTCTTAAAAATACTGAGTGTTTGAATTATAGGCATTTAATATTTTTGACTCAAGATTCAAAATCAGTCTGACTGTGGACTTACTAACCTGAACTTGTTTAATGTTTTAGGGCTTCCTTCCTTCCTTCCTTCCTTCCTTCCTTCCTTCCTTCCTTCCTTCCTTCCTCTCTCTCTCTCTCTCTCTCTCTCTCTCTCTCTCTCTCTCTCTTTCTTTCTTTCTCTCTCTCTCTCTCTCTCTCTCTCTTCCTTTCTCTCTCTCTCTCTCCCTCTCCCTCTCCCTCTCCCTCTCCCTCTCCCTCTCCCCTTCCCCTTCCCTCCCTCCCTAGCTCCCTCCCTAGCTCCCTCCCTCCCTCCCTCCCTTCCTTCCTTCCTTCCTTCCTCCTTCCTTTCTCTCTTTCTTTAAGATTTATTTATTTTGTGTATATGAGTACACTGTAGGTAGCTGTCTTCAGACACACCAAAAGAGGGTGTGGGATCCCATTACAGATAGTTGCTGGGAATTGAACACAGGACCTCTGGAAGAGCAGTCAGTGCTTAATTGCTGAGCCATCTCTCCAGCCCACTTTAGGGCTTTCTCACACCAATTTTACTTAATTCATCATTTCTCTATTTGTGTAGATGGTGCCTCAAAAGGTGTAAAGCCTAAGGCCGTATAAGCCAGGGAGTGGCACAGCTGGGTTTAGATAGAATGTGCTGTGGTTCTTAGTTCATTCAGAAAGGAAGGAAGGAAGGAAGGAAGGAAGGAAGGAAGGAAGGAAGGAAGGAAGGAAAAGAAAAATAGGGTGACAAGTAGGTGGACCAAACTAAAAAAGTATGTGACTAATCTATTTTACTTTTAATTATGGAAGGTTTTTGGTACAAAAGTAAAATAGCCAGGTATATTGGCTCAAACCTATAATCTCAGCACTCAGAGGCAGACAGGAGGAGGGTCTTTGTGAGTTTGAAGCTAGTCTGTCCATATAGTGAATTCCAGGACAGCCTTGGTATTACATAGAGAAACCCTGTCTGAAAAACCACATAAATGAACAGCTAAGATAATTAAGTGGATTCCCATACTCTGCTCATTTATTTTCAGAATTTTGTGTTTTGTTTGTTCTTTGTTCATTCTGTGATACATTTTAAATCAAACTTGCAAACATTTTATTAAACCCTCCTTGAATGACTTATAGAATACTTGTTAATGCTGTACTGAAAACATAGGAGTAAGCATAAATAGACAAATTGTTGAAATAAATTTGTGGATAGCCTGTAGATAACCCGTAACAAACAAGGCTAACCAGAAATTATAACTAATGCCAGAACACACGCGATGTGCCAGCTTAACCATCTCTATTTATTATCTAACCATAAACTTGTAAGTACCTTATTTTAGATCTATAGAAATTAAAGATTGAAAGAGATTAACATGCCTAATGTTGAGTTCTCATTTAATGAGTGAGCCTGGATTTGAACCTAATTTAATTATTAGTTAATAGTGTATTTTATTTTTCTATTTTAAAAGATGCGATGACAGTAATTTGCTTTAAATTTGGGTCCTAATATAGCTAAATGAAGACTTGGCTTAAATATGTTTGGAATTGTAAGCTAAAGAATCTACTTTGAATAGCTTTGTGGTAGGTTTTTTGTTGTTGTTTTGAGACAGGTCTAATTGATTAACCCTAACTTAGAACCCACTATATAAATTTAGCTGGTGTTGAACTTGTTGAAATACTCTTGTCTCTGCCTTTTGAGTCTTGGGACAGGAGACTGGATTTATAGATGCGATACAATGCCTTTTAAATTTTTTTTTTTTTTTAATTTTTTGAGGTAGTCCAGACTGGTCCTTTCTTCCTGCCTCTCAAATGCTGTCATTAGAAGCCTGTGTCACCAAGCTTGAAGGACATGTTCTTTAATCACTTGTCTTCTAGTCACTCTTACACATTATTCCAAAAAGAGATATTAGTGGATTCATTCATTCATTCATTCATTTGGCTTTTTGAGACAGGGTTTCTCTGTTTAGCCATGGAACTCACTCTGTAGATCAGGCTGGCTTCCAACTGTGAGATCTGCCTGCCTCTGCCTCCCCAGTGGTGGGCAAAAAAAACAAGCTGTGCATCACCACCACCCAACCCAGCATGTATTTTATTTTTAAAGACAAAATACGGCTTCTTTTGTTCTGAGTCTCTTACTGTGGTGCATCAGATAAAGATTAACGAGACAACTTATTCTCTGTTTACAGCTGCAGTCTTTTTGTTTGTTTTGGTTTTTCTAGACAGGTTTCTCTGTGTAGCTAGCCCCTGCTGTCCTGGAACTCATTCTATAAACCAGGCTAGCCTTTAACTCAGAGATCCTTTTGCCAATGCCTTCCGTGTGCTGGGATTAAAAGTGTGTGCCATCACTGCCTGGCTTCAACTTTTAATAGATTGAAATCTTTTAATAGGTTGAAATAAAGGGAAAGTTTGGCATTTTAGCCTTTAATACTTGAGTTTTAGCCATGTAAGACACTTGTTAGTGTGGTGCACAAAAATAGTGACATTTGCCTGGAGATTTCAAATTCTGGATCAAGCTTATAGTCTGTGACTGTGTACCCTGAGAGTCACAAACCCAGCTGTTTTGCCCCCAACATATCCGTCTCCCAGATGCTGTTAGAATTTGGGGTTTCCGTTAGTTTTTCTTACTTCCATATTCCTTGTTTATTTTTGTACCAATGCCTACTTGAGGTTTTGGTTTCACAACTTTCTAAAATTTCCCAGTTGAAGGGCAGTGACTATATAAGGGATGATATTATTGATTGACATGTTTAATTTTAACTATTTCTTCTTTGTATTTCCAAAATAGCATTTTAAAATTTGATCATTACATAGATCATGCATTTTTATTTTATGAATACTTTGAGTGCTAGCATCTTAGTGTCAGCTATATGTTCTTAAGTTTAATTTCTGTTCTGATGGTTTTTGATTTTTGCATATAACTGATAATCTTTGAATATTTGCAACATTGTAAACTTTTCAGTGTTGATAACTATATAACACTTAAATTATTTACATAGTAATGGCCAGTTAACTTAGGAGTATTAATTCCCTATAGACTTGTCATTGCTGCCTGTCTCTTAGATGGTTAATCAGGTACTTGTGTAAGACTGTTTGTTACTGTGGTTGCAGTTGAAGGAATTCTTATTTTTTTTTTTTTGTTTTTCGAGACAGGGTTTCTCTGTGTAGCTCTGGCTGTCCTGGAACTCACTCTGTAGACCAGGCTAGCGTCGAACTCTTGAACTCAGAAATCCGCCTGCCTCTGCCTCCCAAGTGCTGGGATTAAAGGTGTGCACCACCACCGCCAGGCAACTGAAGGAATTCTTAAAAATTGGTTTTAGATAAAAAGAAAGTTTTAAGAAAATGAGCAGAATATTGAGCTGTTTTAGATATTAGACAATATAGCATTATGAATATTGACTGCAGGCTAGAATGACATTTGTTCTGTAAAGGTCAGGTGACTTCAATTAAATTCATGATACTCTGCTGTGTTTAGAAAGTTTTATTTTTTATTTTTATTTTTTATTTTATTTATTTATTTTTTTGACACTTGAGTGGGATCTCTTGGAGCCTAGGAGTTCCAAACTCACTGTATAACTGAGGATGAACTTAAACTGATTCTCTGCCTTCTTGCCCTAATTTGTGGATTATAGGTGTTATTGTTGGTTTTAATTATTTTATGTTTGTCTGCATGTAGTTCTGTACCAGGTTCCTGCTTGGTGCTTTTAGAGGTCAGAAGAGGGTGTCAGATCCCTTAGAACTAAAGATACAGGGGACTGTGAATGGCCATTTGGGTTCTGGGAATTGAACAGTCCCAGCAGTGAACAGCAACTAGTGCACTTAACCGATGAGTAATATCTCTGGCCTCTTTTGTCACTTAGGTTGTTGCTATATCATAGCTCAGGCTAAACTCAGAATCACCATCCTCCTGTTCAACTTTGCAAGTGATAGGATTGCTTGCCACCAAGATCACCTTAGTTAAATTGTCATGATCAAACATTTATTGTTTTCCAAGTCAGGCAAAGTATGTGCCTATATTTCAGTACTGGAGAGGTCAAAGTGGAAGAAGTCAGTTTGGGCTACATAATTTATTAGTATGCTATATGTATATATATATGATTATAGCCAGTGCATATCTGATTTACCATAAACTCAAACTCTTCTTTTTTATTTAATTTTTGCTAGGAATTTGAATTTAGAGTTTAATTTCCCATAACATTCTCTACAAGAAGAATCTTGGCAGTATTTTAAAGACATTACTGACTTCTGGATCCTGCATAAAGCCCAAGGTAAATGAAGTTTATGTTCTCTAGGTTTTACTTATGACTAAATTGAGAAAATTGACTGTTAACCTAAATCAGATGAAGTGATTAAGAGTGTTGTGAACTGGCCTTGGAGGTACAGCCCAAGAAGTAGGGTGCTTGCCTAATGAACACAAGACCGTATAGGTTCAGCCCCTAGTACTAATGAAGTTGCCCTGCAACATTTCTCTTTTTCTTTCTTTCTTTCCTTTTTTTGGGGGGGGTGGGTGGGGAGTGTGTTACCTTCTGTAAAATCAGATTTTGAGTTAGTTTTAAAAATATTATTTTCATTTCTCCATTGTATATTACCTTTTTCCCACTTCTGTAAATGTTTTCTAAGAAGACTCAGGATACAAAAATGCCATTTAGAAACAAAACAACCACTTCTGCCATCTTTTGAGACAAGGTTTTGCTGCATATCCCTAGTACTGGGATGATACTCCTTTGTCATTGTGCCCAGGTCAATTACTTACTTAACTTAGTTTGTTTTTTTTTTTTTTGGGGGGGGGGGACTATAACCCTGGCTGTCCTAGAACTATGTAGATCAGGCTAGCCTTGAACTCACAGGGATTCACCTGCTTCTGTGTTCCAAGTATTGAGTTAAAGGCCTGTACCATCACTCTTAGTTTAACTTTTTATCTTCCCTAATGTACTTTAGTACAACTTTATAATAACCTCAAACTCTAAATAGATAAATACCTTTAAAATTATTTAATGAGACTAAAATTTAAATATGTGAGAAACACAGGCCTTTATAAGATTAATAAATTGAGTCTTATGGACATGATTATTTATTTTGACTAATAAGTTAGAAATTTGGAAAATGACACAATTGGCTCTTGACTAACATTGGACTGAGGCTGGCGAAACAGCTTAGCATTAAAAACACTTGCTGTGCAAGCCTTACAGCCTCAGTTCAATCTCCTGAATGGAAGGAGGAGGGAACTAACTCTTTATAAACTTTATAAAGTTATCTGGTTTTTCACGTGTAGACTGTGACATTTTTGCAACTAATCATATAACCACACTAAAATATAAGTTGGGGCTGGAGAGATGGTTCAGCAGTTAAAAGTTCTCTTACTGCTTTTCCAGAGGACATGGAGTTCGATTCCCAGCATCCACACTGCAGCTCACAACTACCTGTAATTCTAGTCCTAGAAGACCTTATACACATTTCTGGCCTCAGCAGCTACCAGGCATGTGTATGGCCACTCATGCTGGCTAATCATCCATTACATAAAAGAAATATTTAAATACCTGAACTTAGTTTTTAGTTTCCCCACCCCCATCAAGGACTGGGAAATGTAAATGCTAAGCAATTCCATGGTTAGTTCTTATTTTTTATTTCAGTGTAAGAAATGAACCTACTATCTAATGCTTGCTAAGCAACTACTACAGAGCTGTTGTATGCATCACTAACCCTCTATCTGTCTCTTTCTTCTTCTGAATATTAGGACTTACTAAGTAGCCCAGGTGCTCTTAAACTCATGTTATTAGCCTGTTTAGGTTTTGAACCTGAGATACTTTCATTTCAGTCTTCTGAGTAAGAGTTCAGGTCAGCCATCTGGGCTAACTATATGGATGGCCTAAAAATTTTTCAGCAGTTTGAAAAAATTTGTAGACCATAAGAAATAATTGAAAAAAATTTAAAAAGTCACTTGCATGTAAATACATATATAAATACTTTATTATCCTAAAAAATACTAGTTAAAATTTATGAATGCAACACACTGGTTAATTTGCTATAGAAAAATAAAAACATAACAAATGCTGCATTAAATAGTGACTTGATTAACTTTGGTACCTGCTATAATTGACAGTTACCTTCTGTTGCTGTTGTAAGCGCCTGTGTTGTAAGTGGTCACTTAATGTAATGCTGATGCTTCATGTGAGCAGTTTTCATTAATAATTGTTGTATTGCATTTTTTTTTACAGCAACAACACAAGTATAAATAATGTTCCAATTTTGTTATCAGTAAGACTTTTGGTTAGCAGTTGAGTTTTGGAACAATCAGAGGTTGATTGTATATAAATTTGCCCACCTGTTCGTTATTGTCCTGCTGCCTATTGTCTATGGTTTAACGTACATGGCAAAAAATAAAATTTTTTTTTATTTTGTCCCTCTCCCTCCTTCCATATTATTTTTCTTCTGAATCACTGAAAAATTAAAAGTGTGACATTTGGTATGTACATACAATGATTTACCATATATTTAGATTTTTTTCAGGAGAAGCGCATTTTATTTTTTATTTTTTATTTTTTACTTTTTTTTTTGGTTTTTCGAGACAGGGTTTCTCTGTATAGCCCGGGCTGTCCTGGAACTCAGATAGACAGATATCTACAGATAGACCAGGCTGGCCTCGAACTCAGAATCCGCCTGCCTCTGCCTCCCAAGTGCTGGGATTAAAGGCGTGTGCCACCACCGCCCGGCTGAGAAGCACGTTTTATAAATCAATACTGTTATCATTCTCTGTACCTAGTGAGGTCTAATTGTGTCAGTGTTTAGAAAAGTTAAGTTAGAAAAGTTGTGCCAACTTTTCTTTTTCTTGTAGTTTTAATATTTCTTGTCTCTTTAATTCCTTTATCTTTTTTCTTTTTTTTAAGATTTATTTATTTTATGCATGTGAGTAAACTGTCCACTGTTTTCAGACACACCAGAAGAGGGCACCAGATCTCATTATAGATGGTTGTGAGCCACCATGTGGTTGCTGGGAATTGAACTCATGACCTCTGGAAGAGCAGACTATGCTCTTAACCACTGAGCCATCTCTCCAGCCCTAATTCCTTTATCTTTTGTTGTTCTTTCTTACCAGCAAGTTCTAGCTGTCAAGAGGCTTTTTAGTCTATAGGAAACTATATGAGAAACAGTTTAGTGCTTTAAGTCCATAAAGCACTGTGATGACAGCTTGGTGAAGTTTCTTTTCAAATTTATTTATTTTTAAGTATTATGCCAGGTTTTGTTTCTTTTTCTTTTTTTTTTTTTTCGAGACAGGGTTTCTCTGTGTAGCCCTGGCTGTGCTGGAACTCAATCTCTAGACCAGGCTGGCCTCGAAATCAGAAATCTGCCTGTCTCCGCCTCCCAAGTGCTGGGATTAAAGGTGTACGCCACCACTGCTCGGCTTTTTTTTTCTTTTTCTTTTTTCTGTTTTTTAATGTTATGTGTATGGGTGTTTGGTTGCATGTTTGTTGGATTCCATTACAGAAATTCTGAATTGTTAGCTGCCACGTGGATGCTGGAAATTGAACCCCAATTCACTAGAAGAATAACCAGTGCTTTTTGATTTTTTTTTTAATTGAAAAAAAATTTTTACAGTATGTTTTGTATATTTTTCGTACAATATATTGTTTTTCTTAATTCCTTTCGGATCTTTTCCACTTTTCTAACTAACTTACATTTTTTCTTACTTTTTAAAACAAACAAAACTGTACAAGAAACACAAAACACTTCCACAAAAACACAAATCAAAATAAACAAGCAAAAGACTATTTAAGATAAAAAAGAAAAAGTAGCCAGGCAGTGGTGGCGCACGCCTTTAATCTTAGTGCTTGGGAGGCAGAGGCAGGTGGATTTCTTGAGTTCGAGGCCAGCCTGGTCTACAGAGTGAGTTCCAGGACAGCCCAGGCTATACAGAGAAACCCTGTCTCAAAAAAAAAAAACCCAACCAACCAAACAAAAAAGTAGCCGAACAATGCAAAATGAGACAAAAAGTCTACACTAGACTTTACAGAAACTACTGAGTTCATTTTGTGTTGATTAAGTACTCTCTGGGTATGGGGCATGCACTGAGTGAAGTGTGCTTAATACAGCTATTGAGACTATTGGGGAATATTGATTTTTCCTTTGCCATGTGGTATCACTTACAGATAGCTTCTTGGCCAGAGGTGGGACCCTGTGTACTTCCTTCTTAGTGTTGGGACTCCATCTTAGAGAGTGCTCTTAAATCACTAAGCAGTCTCTCTAGTCTGTATTGTGCCACTTGTAAATGTTCTTTTCTTCATATTTCTTTTCTGTAGTTCTCATAATTTTATCTTTTGTACACATGAGGTAAGTAGGCTTTTGTATTGGGCATAGAAAAACATCTAACACAACTGTTGCTCTTTCTGACTTCTGTAGTTGGTTGGTGTCTTTGGATTGAGACACATAGGTGTTCAGTCCATAGAAATGTTTTATCTTGTATTTGTATCTTACACAGGTGAAAGTAGTTATTGTTTATTTTTTAGGGATATTAGGCCTGTTTTATAAGTAAGTATTCCTTTGAAAAGAATGACTTGTAAAAATCCAGCTTATATCTGGAAATAAGTGAATATTAAAATATCTTTTTGTATTAATTTAACCAATATTGCTTTCATTTGATTAGGAGAAAAGAAATGGGCCGCTCCAATTCTAGATCACATTCTTCAAGATCCAAGTCTAGATCACAGTCTAGTTCTAGATCAAGATCAAGATCACATTCTAGAAAGAAGAGATACAGGTGAATTAATGTGTTTCTGATGCTTTTATTAGTGAAATAGTAGCTACTAGTGTCTGCTGTGTACAGATACAGTATATAGTGTACTCAGCATCAGTGTGCCATTCTCAATAAAACTCCATGACTTGGTTTGTTTTTTTTGTTTTTTTGTTTTTTTTTTTTTTTTGTTTCGTTTTGTTTTTTTTGAGACAGGGTTTCTCTGTGTGGCCCTGGCTGCCCTGGAACTCACTCTATAGACCAGGCTGGCCTCGAACTCAGAAATCCGCCTGCCTCTGCCTCCCAAGTGCTGGGAAATGACTTGGGTTAGTTGTTCTTATTTAGAACTGAAATTTGACAATTTGTCTAAATTGTAACCTAGTTACAACTGCGATCATGATCTGAGATTTACTATACTGTGTTAATACATGATGAATTTCTTTGTTTCTTTCCATCTTAAGAGATAAACTGGATATTTTAAGAATTTTTTTGGTGCTGAATCATATTTATTGTTTTCTGGTTTTTACTGAGTCTGGTTCTTTAAAGGATAATCTCTCCCCTTTTGTTTAACAAATGATTTTTTTCTTCAAATAATAATATCCATAGCACAGAGAATAGGAGCCTGTTGAGAATTAATACTAGTTTCTTTTTTCCTGTAATTATATAATTAATTTTTTTCTGATTTTTATATAATCAGCTTTGCTGAATATCAGTGGCATTTTGCTCTATGTAGTTCCATGTAACCCCTTTTCCCTATTAGCAGCACATGATGCCATTTACATTTCTCTTACTATGAATTTTATTGCCAGCCTAAATGTTTTATACAATCTTGTGTTGGATATATTGATACCCTCTCCCCCCATTTTGTGCCTACTTTCCCAAGGCCTCTCATTCATCGTTTATCTTGGACAAAAGCTTTAATAAATACCAGAAACAGTAAACTTTCAAACAAGTGATATTTTTAATATATTATTTTACCTTGTTTATATGTTTTATTCAGCCAGATGTATCTAAAATGGTGAAATGAAGTACTTCATTTTTAAAAAATTGATACTTATTTCATTTTTAGTTCTAGGTCTCGTTCCAGAACATATTCGAGGTCTCGTAGTAGAGATCGTATTTATTCTAGAGATTATCGTCGAGATTACAGGAATAATAGAGGAATGAGACGACCTTATGGGTACAGAGGAAGGGGTAGAGGGTATTATCAAGGAGGAGGAGGTAGATACCATCGAGGTGGCTATAGACCTGTCTGGAATAGAAGGCACTCTAGGAGTCCTAGACGAGGTCGGTCACGGTCCAGGAGTCCAAAAAGAAGATCCGTGTCTTCTCAAAGATCCCGAAGCAGATCTCGCCGGTCATACAGATCCTCTAGGTCTCCAAGATCATCATCATCTCGTTCTTCATCCCCATATAGCAAATCTCCTGTCTCTAAAAGACGAGGGTCTCAGGAAAAACAAACCAAAAAAGCTGAAGGGGAACCCCAAGAAGAGAGTCCTTTGAAAAGCAAGTCACAGGAGGAACCAAAGGATACTTTTGAACATGATCCATCTGAATCTATTGATGAGTTTAATAAATCTGCTACATCTGGTGATATTTGGCCTGGCCTTTCAGCTTATGATAATAGTCCAAGGTCACCTCATAGTCCTTCACCTATTGCTACACCACCCAGTCAGAGTTCATCATGCTCAGATGCCCCCATGCTTAGTACAGTTCACTCTGCCAAAAATACCCCTTCTCAGCATTCACATTCCATTCAGCACAGTCCTGAGAGGTCTGGATCTGGGTCTGTTGGAAATGGGTCTAGCCGATACAGTCCTTCTCAGAATAGTCCGATTCATCACATCCCATCACGAAGAAGCCCTGCAAAGACAATCACACCACAGAACGCTCCAAGAGAGGAATCTAGGGGGCGCTCCTCTTTTTATCCTGAAGGAGATCAGGAAACAGCAAAGACAGGAAAGTTTTTAAAAAGGTAAGAATCCAAAGTAGTGCATTTATATTATATAGTACTAATTTTAAAATAACATTGTGCTATGTATTTAACTGTTTTTACTTGTTCCTGTTTGATAATTCTGAATTGTTCTTAATTATTTAAGTGTTTTGATGTTTCTATTTGTTTTATTAGACATTTTTGATCAGTTTACAACTAGCAGTTACAAACAAGGAAAAAACTAAAGGCCTAAGATAACCAATATTATATATTAAACACATAAACAGTTTTGTGTTAGAGACTTTTTCCTTTTTGCTTTAGATTGTGACCTTACATAAACAGTGTGGTCATGTTTCATGTTTTTTGGTAATACAGTCCAGCTGTCAGTGCTTTGTGAATTCTTCTTGACTTGGGAAAAAATCTTTATTTCTCAGTGAGTCTAATGACATTTTAAGTATTTTGTTAAATTCTAGTTTCAAGCATTACAGAAAGAAATGCTAGCAAACTAATGAAAATTAGGCTGTTAATAAATGGAACAGGTATGCTGCTTATGATTTTTTTTCCCTACTCTGCAACCTGGAATTTTCCACTGAACTGATGATTAGCTTCTGTTATTACCCGAAGTCATTATCTTCTAGAGCAGATTTTATGTGAACTTTTTTGATTGAGGTAGAGTATTAAATACATAATATTATGTTTCTAAAGTCTTATTTCTGTGAGGTCTTGTTTATATTGACAAAGAAGGTAAATGTGGTAGCACATACCTGTAATCCCAGTGTTAGGGAGGTTGAGGCAGAGGCTCAAGAGTGTCTACTGTAGGGAGTCTGAGGCTAATCTGGAATACATGAAGTTTTACTGCAAAATACATAAAAGGAGATCTGAAAATTTGAGCATAAATATAAATTGAAATTGCAGTAGGTATTTGTATTGTCTGTTAGTAGTTCCTAGCCTCAAAAAGTTATATTTAGGCTGTATTGTATATCAGGAGCTCTTAAAGTTTGGATGTGTTAGTCTAAAATTGTGGTGGATAATTGCATAGAGTAGGTTTTTGAGCATGACTTTACTTTAGGAAGTTTAAAAGTATAAATTCTGTGTTTTTAATGGTTTTAAAAATAAGGTTAGGTTTCAGTATAGAGTAACAACCATACATTTAAATACTCATGTTTATTTCCAAGGAATGCAATCCAGAGTTACTGTCCTCTTCTCTGCTCATTTACAGGTTCACTGATGAAGAGTCTAGAGTATTCCTGCTTGATAGGGGTAATATCCGGGAGAAAGAGGCTCCAAAGGAGAAAGGGTCAGAGAAAGGCAGGGCAGACGGAGATTGGGATGATCAGGAAGTTCTAGATTACTTTAGTGATAAAGAGTCTGCAAAACAAAAATTCCATGACTCTGAAGGGGATGACACAGAGGAGACAGAGGATTATAGACAGTTTAGGAAATCAGTCCTGGCAGATCAGGGGAAGAGCTTTGCTACTTCATCTCACCGGAATACTGAGGAGGAAGGACCCAAGTACAAGTCCAAAGTTTCACTAAAAGGCAATAGAGAAAGTGATGGATTTAGAGAAGAAAAAAATTACAAACTGAAAGAGACTTCATACATAGTGGAAAGGCCTAGCACTGCAAAAGACAAGCACAAGGAAGAAGACAAAAGCTCTGACAGAATAACAGTGAAGAAAGAAGTGCAATCACCCGAGCAGGTAAAGTCTGAAAAGCTCAAAGAGCTCTTTGATTATAGTCCCCCTCTACACAAGAGTCTGGACGCACGAGAAAAGTCCATCTTCAGAGAGGAGAGCCCGCTCAGGATCAAAATGATAGCCAGTGATTCTCACCGTCCTGAAGTCAAACTCAAAATGGCACCTGTTCCTCTCGACGATTCCAACAGGTAATTCCACATTGGTGCCTCGTAAGTAATGTAGAGGTATTTAGCGATGACATTACTTTTCTGAACATGGAGTTTACACATTCAAACCAATGGTGTATTTTGTTTGTGTGTATGTGTGTGTGTTTATTTTTGATATATTCTAGACCTGCCTCCTTGACTAAAGACAGGCTACTTGCTAGCACGCTTGTCCATTCTGTCAAGAAAGAGCAAGAATTCCGATCCATCTTTGACCACATTAAGTTGCCTCAGGCCAGCAAAAGCACTTCAGAGTCATTTATACAACACATTGTATCCTTGGTTCATCATGTGAAAGGTATGCATGGTATATGTAGTATCATGAATTAAGCTTTTCTTGCATGCAATAAAAGATTAGTTAAGTTGAATAGTAGCTGTACTAACTGACCTAGCAGGTAGGTATATCAGTACTATTAAATATTAAACATTTGGAAAATATTTTGTGGAGAAGATAGCATTGAGACTAATAAAAGATATAAGATGATAAAATGGCTGAAATTAAAATGTAAAAATCAGTATCACATAGACTTATGATACAGATTTGCTTAATTTTGAAAATTTAAATGTACTATTGCATGTGAAAATTAACTGTCATTGTATGCTTATGACTTGGTGACTCAGTGGGTAAGTTTATAGCAACTCTAGGCAGTATAGTTACTGCTGTACTGAGAGTTAATAATAGGGTATGTCTTTAGGTTCTAGAAATAAATGGCTTCGTTTTAGCTAAAGTCAATTCATATTTTCACCAGTATATTGTTGTAGTTTAAAAGCTACTAATAATTTTCAATGACTTCAGGGTATGATTTTATTTGGGAGCAGGTAGGTAAGTTTTGCTGTGGTTATTTTTGTGAATAGCAGGTTCTTTCCCAGGAAACTCGATGGCTGTCAGTCTTTTTTTATTTTATTTTAAAGTTAGCCGTGCAAACAACTCAATAGCTGGAAATTTGTCACAGTTATGCACTGAATAACTAGAACTTTTTTGGCTATGGTCAGCATGGTAACAACAGCACTTTGCTATTTGGCTTTAGATAAACTTATGAACCATATCATGACTTTCATGGCTATAGTATTGTGGCACATAAAATTAGGAAGCATTAAGATTTTTTTTCAATCTTTTTTTTTTTTTTTTGACCTGTCTCCACACTTTACAGTTTACTGTTGAATTTTGAGATCAGATTTTGATACATTTTTTCCTTTTTCCTTTTCTTTTTTCCTTTTTTAGAGGATCTGTAGTTATGTTTCATAATTGGTGTTGTGCAACCGATCTGAACAGCTCTTACTTTATATAGAGCTGAAAATGCCCAGTGATGTTTTCTTTTTCATTGTAACTAGGTCCTGGAATATGTTTTGAAATGCCAAAATCCATGTTTCAAAGTAAAATAGCTGTTGAAAGATACAGGCAAAGTTGAATCTTCTGTCTTCCTGGCAAAAAAATGGCATAAAAACTGAGTTGCTAGCTCAAATTCCTGGGTTTCATGGAATTATGATTGAGGCACTACCCTGGTAGTGGCCGTTTCAAGTTTTAATGATTGGTTATGAGACATGTGCTGGATACTGGGCGGTAAGTTGACACAGATGTATGTTGACCTGTTAAGCAGATAGCTTGCTTCATAATGTAACATTTCATAGTTCATGACTTTAGACGTCTATTTTACATTTACAGCATATCTTAAACTGGTTTAGAAACTAATCAATATTGTTATTACTAATTTAAAGATTGCTTAAAGAAAGAAAGATACAGTATCATATGTGCTGTCAGGTTTGCCAAGATGCCAGAGTTTTTGGATGAATTAGTGAATGTAAATCAGTTTCAAAGTTTTTTTTTTCCTCCCCAATTAAGTGGCAGTATTCACTTTTTTGTAAAGCCATTTCTGTTAATATGTCACCATAGTTAACATAATTTTATTATTTATTCAAACTATTTGTAATTTTCTTTATTTTTTTGCTGCAAATGAGTAGTTGAAATGACAACCTTGTTTAGTTGGTAGGGTTTAAAGGGCATACCACCTATTGTTCCTTTTTGAGGAAGTAGTTTGTCAGTGTGGAGTTAGAGTCTTGATTATCTGTTAATTTTGTGGGGTTGTAGTTAGTATTGACGGAGTCCTGTGAGGACCTTTGCAATCAGTGTTGAGGTACAAGGAATTAATAGAGTAGGAGTTTTTATTTTAACACTTGATTCTCTTCTGCTAGGTTACTTGAGTATTTTTATTTTCTCTCAACTGCTACATGCCCTTCTATCACAAGTGAAAATCCTCTCTTAAAATTAAGATTCCTAATTCGACAGTGTTTCTCCTAAATCAACAGAGCAATACTTCAAATCACCTGCAGTGACCCTAAACGAGCGGTTCACTTCATACCAGAAAGCTACTGAAGAACATAGTACCCGGCAAAAGAGCCCTGAGATACATAGGTATGGATAGCATTGAATTTGCATATAAAATGTTATTAATGAAAGATGCTTAAGGTTATAAGAGGAGTATGCTGTTGTCATGACATAAGGAAACTTTGGATTCTTTCTCCTAGACTGAAGCACTGTATCTTCAAGTTTAGACAAATTTTAATTTTTTTTCCCTGATAGTTTTCTCAGTTTAAAATTGTTAGAACTTTTAATGTTCTACCTTTAATCATTGTAGAATTTAATAACTGTAAGTTTTGGGGGCCCGGGGTTGGGGAGTGACTGTCTCAAGGAAACTTTGAATTCCTGAGTGCATCTGTGGTAAAAATATTAGGTGAGTTATGAAAGAGGGTGGAGGCTAAGTCAGTCTATGTTCTGGCTTCCGTGCCTTGGAAACCAGTTATTGATGATCTTGACATTAGTATTTCATCTACATAGTGCTTTACAAGATAGTCGTGAAACTCAGAATCTAACTGGTGCTTAGTTGCTTGTGTATTCTGGTGGTTGATGACTGCTAAGAATGCAATGAGAAGTTCTAACTAATAAAAGCCTGAAACGGGAAGGTGCAGAATCAAACACAAAATCAACAAATAGATGAAGTTAGAAGAGCTCTTGGAAGCCGGTAATTTGTTAGAGGATTATATCAATACTAATGTTGAATAAGTTAATTCATTTAGTTGCATGGTGATTTAATATTTAAAATGATAAAGTATTATTTTTCATGGTAAAAGTTTAGTTTTTAAAAGTCTGGTTTCATTTATATATAAAGATCTACTCCTAGTATTTTAATTGGTTTGTTTTGTGTTTGAGGCAGGATTTTGCTATGTAGTTCTGTCTTGCCTTATACTCACTATGTAGCTAATGTGGACGTCAAACTCAAAGCAGTCTTTTCTTTTTCTTTTTTCTTTTCTATGTCTCAGCATATGGAGTACTGGGAGTACAGGCATTTGCTACCACATCCAGTTTTTCATTAATTCTTTTTTTTTTCTTTTCTTTTCTTTTCTTTTTTTTGGTTTTTCGAGACAGGGTTTCTCTGTGTAGCCCTGGCTGTCCTGGAACTCACTCTGTAGACCAGGCTGGCCTCAAACTCAGAAATCCGCCTGCCTCTGCCTCCCAAGTGCTGGGATTAAAGGCGTGCGCCACCACCGCCCGGCTCATTAATTTTTAATGCATATACTTTTTATTTCTTGTTTTAGGAATTATATCAATAGACTTAACTGTGCCAGATTGGTTTCTCAGGAGAGACGTAACTATCTAGTATTTCTCAACAGTGGGTAGTACTATTTTTCTTTTGAATCAGAATGTAAAAAGTATAATTACAAATACACTTTATTTTATATTAAGGAGAATTGACATCTCTCCAAGCGCTCTGAGGAAGCATACCCGGTTAGCAGGAGAGGAGAGAGTTTTTAAAGAAGAAATTCAAAAGGTATAGTTTTTGTTTTTTTAATATACTTGCTTTTCATGTGAAACTGAGCTTAATGATACTATACTATACCTTGTTTTCTTAGGCAAAATGATTACATCTTTTTTAAAATTTGTAAATACATAATGTTTATGGTTATTTATCTTAATTTAAACCAAGAATACTTTTTTAAAAGTGCTTGTCAATGGAAAATGTTAGTCTTAAAGGTAATAGAGTAATAAAGATTATAAATAGGATATCAATTATATTATGGTTTTTATGAGGTTTTGAGATGAAATCGTTAAGTCAGAATTTGAATGTGTCTTTTAAAAGTTAATTGTATTTCTGCTTCTTCAAAGAAGTTACCTTAGTGCTGTCCTTTTGAAGGTAGCAAGTTTTGACAAAGTAGGCTGTCTTTGAACTCCTGCCAATGCTCCTGCATAAGCTTCCTGCGTGCTGGGCTTACAGATGTGCACTGTCATACCTGGCTATTGCATATTTTTATGTGTTTTATGAAATTGGCATTGTTTACTTGTGATCTTTACCTTCTGTTTGGTCCTCTTTCAGTTAGTTTTACATCTTACTATTATCCCTTAGATGCCTGTTTGTTTTTTAATGAGAGAGAGACAGAGGGTAGACCCGGATGGGAGGGGAGTTGGGAAGAACTAGGAGGAGTAGAGGGAGAGGAAACTGTAATTAGGATATCTCATGTGAAAAAAAATCTTACGTTGAATTATGGAGAAGAAAAAAAAAAAAGAAGTAAGCATTTTAGGCTAGGTACAACTTTATTCCCTTCACCCAGGAGGCCAGCCTGAGCTATATATAAAAGTTCCAGGCCTCTGTAGACATTGTAAAAACTGATTTGCAAAGTGAACTTTGCAACAAAACGTTTCATTTCTACATTGGAATTTGGCTTTGAAACTTGAAAAGAATCTGTTTAGATACTACAGGTAAGGTAAGGAAGCCAGGGGCTTGGTGAGACTATAGTGCAGCAGTCACAAGGGGATTCAAGTTGATGTTTATTGAGTACACTAGTTCCTATCTAGCTATAAAGTGTTTAGTAAAACATGCAGCAGAGGTGGCAAGGGATCATCAGATCTATTTTGAAAATGCTCTGGGTTTTGTAAAATAAAATTAACTCTTGAACCTTGACTTCTAATGTATCTAGAGTTGTGGAAGATTTGGGCTATTTTGGATTTTACTTTTATTAATAGGAATTGCTTGACAATGTCAGCGTACAAATTTTTCAGAGGAGTGTGTTGCTAACTGAATTGTTTTTGAAATCTTGAGCTTAGGAGTCAGGTGAAGCCTGTGCACAGGAGGTAACAGTTTTAGAAAAATAGACTGAGCAGTGAACAGTTCGATACTTTAAAAAAATATCTTTGACCTAATACATTAGGCTTATTAATAAGGGTTAATTGTGTTTCATTTCTCCAACAATTCACTTTGTCTTTGGTTTGAGAGAGAAGTCTAACTGATAGATGACCCGGAAGACATGATAATTAGGTTTTGTTATCTTGTTGTCTTTAATCAATAATTATCATGTTAATATGAAATTACATGCTTAGCAAGATTTACAAAGTAGTTTCACTTAGATATATTGTTTCTTAGGGAGTCAGTAATACCTAGGGTGATTAGGAAAGTTTTGCTTATGATTAGACTTGTTACTCTAGGGACAAATTGGCGAGTAATACTTAACTTTGAGAGATACGTATATTTCACTTTTGTTGATGCTTATGAATATTATAGTTAGACGTCCCAAAATAAATAGTTCTTATTGTTGAATACTATCAAGGATGTCCACATTGCATAGCATCTTACTGATGTATAATTTTTCTTCATTCCTAGATGCCTCTTTTCAACTTCTAAATTATATAGTATTTGAAAAAAGCAATGGAACAAGGAGGAGGTGAACTGTGACCCAGTTAAACTAATGTCTGTTGCAATACCTGAATTGAGAAAGGGCAATATATAGCCCAAAATACTGAGTACAGGGTTGCGAATAATGTCTTTTGACTTTGTTTGACCTTTGTTCAACCTCAGTTTTATTAATCTTATTCCACTTGCATGTCATGAGAATTACAGACTCCCTAAGTTTGAAGTATCTTCTATTGCATTTATCAGTTTATCTGGGAAGAGCTTGATGTTAATGAGGCTTAATTACTGAGACCTATAACTCCAGAATCTCAAGATTATAGGCTGAAAACCACATTGCATCTATAGATTATAACTTTTAACACTGTCCAACTATCTCATAATACCTATTTGGAATAATGATTCACGGAATAGAAAGATGTATCATTTTGCTCTATGAACGTTTATTATGGATTGCTTTCAGTAAATGCCATTAAAGAATTTAGTCTTGAAGTTTTAGTATATGTACATAAAATGCTCAGTAAAATGTAGTTTTAAAAGAAATTCTGTGGATGATGGTAGTATGTGATGCAGTAGTTTTTGATATTAAAGTACCAGTTTAGAATCTGTTGTGATGTAACTACATGTTTCTGTACATTTCTGTTTCTTGTCTGAAATCTGTATTTTACATGTATTTTCTACAGGGAGATAAAAAACTAAGGTGTGATTCGGCTGATCTTCGACATGACATTGACCGACGCCGTAAAGAAAGAAGTAAGGAGCGGGGAGATTCCAAGGGCTCCAGGGAATCTAGTGGATCAAGGAAGCAAGAAAAAACGCCAAAGGATTACAAGGAATACAAACCTTATAAAGATGACAGGTGATTGTTCAAATTGTCTTGACTTAGGCTTTAGCTTCTAATTAGCCTTTAATAATTGTCAGCTTAATTGCTTTCAATTTTGACTATAATCAAATGTTTAAATTTAAACAATTAAAATTATTTGTTTTACAGCAAAAATGTATTTGTCTTTTACACGGCTTATGGTGGATGAGGACAAAAACTTTGGAATAGCAAGCTAACACTGAAAAAAAAAAATGACAAATTAATGTGTCCTATTATCCAGGCTACATCAGGAGGTTGGACTTCAATGCAGTGCATTTCTAGAAACAGTTTGTGTAAGAACTTTGGTTCGTTATGCTTGATTCCGCACTTTTTCAACTCATAACACCCAGAGTACAAGACTGTTAAAGTGTTGTATCTAGTGGTTTAACATGGGAGAGATGGGGGGAGGAAGCACCAGGAAGTAGGATTATTTATTGTGCATTAGTCTTTGCAATTTATATTTCCCTGGATACTGTTAGCAGTGGTAAGAGTTACTGCAGGTATGACCTTTTCGGGTGTTGCATTAGAATCATGTAAATTTATCTTTATAGAGTCAAATAAGTAGGAATAAAATACATTATAGAGAAGTTTTTGCTTGATGTTCATTAGGTAAATGGTGGATTATACTTGTGCATTTAAATTTATGACTGTTATTTGTAATGTTACATGCCTTTTATTTCTATCATGATACTGTGGCCCAAATCGAACTCACTTAGGATGTATCTAAACTGCAGTCTTTTAAAAACTTGAACCAAGAACATTTTGGACTGGGGCTGTAGCTTAGTTGTGACATGCTCACCTAGCATGTGTCAAGCCCTGGGTTCAAGCCCCAGCACCGCAACAAAAAACAAACCCACTCTTTTCTTTTCCTTTTATTGAAATAACAAAAGATTACAAGTTAAAGTAATGAAGAACTGAACATTGAAATTTGCAAACTACCAGTTTCTAGCTGGTAGGCTGTAGTGTGTTAATTATTTAAAACAATCAATGAAGACAATTGGAAACAGACTGTTTATACCCAATTCTACTTAAATAATAATTTTAAGCGGGTACTTTCTTTTTTTAACTTAAAAACATTCCTCATAAGATTTTAAATAATTGTTTATCTTTTAAAAAAATAGCACATTTTTTTAATTTTTTATTTTTCAGCAAACATAAAGGTAGAGAGCAAGATCATTCTCGATCATCATCCTCTTCAGCATCACCTTCTTCACCCAGTTCTCGAGAAGAAAAAGAGAGTAAGAAAGAAAGAGAAGAAGAGTTTAAAACTCACCACGAGATGAAAGACTACTCAGGATTTTCAGGAGTTAGCAGACCACGAGGAACCTTTGTAAGTAATAGTTACCTTTGATCATTTGGGAGGCTTTATCTTGGAGAACTGTGTGTGCAAAGGGGAAATAAAATATACCTTACAGATTATTAATCATCTTTACCAGTCAGTCTTGAGTAATAAAATAGTATTTGAAATGCTACCTTGCCAATGAAATGAAATGCCATTCAATTTGAGATTTTGAAGCATCTGTATAAACTAGATACTTTTTTTTTTACTTTCAGATCAATGTTTCAAGTGTAAAAGTTCATTTAATAAATCACTCAAAGCTGTTATAAAAATATTAAAACAGACTTATCTCTCTGTATTATTGCTGGTTTTGTTTGCCTGTTCAGCTCCTTGCTTCTGTGTGTACCAGTCACATAACTTTTCCTAAGTCTTGTAGAATGAATGCATTATTTTGCTTTTATAAAGTTACTGTAACTGTTATAGGCTTAAATGTAGCACCTTTTCTCAGGTCCATACTTTAACGTTTAGCTATATCTAGTTGGATATTACTACAGTCACTAGGTCATTTTGGGGAACAGAACGTCTTTTCATTCAGGGTAATAGATATGGTTGGGCACTTGAGACTTTTTTGGTATAATTCACAGGAACTACATACATAGCTTTTGGCTGATGAAAAGAGGGACATGCCGATACTACTGTTTAAAAATACTAGTTTTAGGTCGTGAAGGCACATACTCTGATACTTGAGAATATTACATTTCTTCATCTACTCAACTTCCAGTAGCCTTGTGGTATAAAATGGCCACCTGTTCCATCCTCAGTGGCTGTGAAGACAGACACACAGAGGGACACACCACACACTTTGTTTTTGTTACTGCAGTAAAATCTAGAGTTTGCATGTAACTAAATACCTTTGATTGCATTACTAAACAACTGTGTTAATGTTAATCAGTTTCGAATTAGAGGCAGAGGAAGAGCCAGAGGAGTTTTTGCTGGGACAAATACTGGTCCAAACAACTCAAATACCACTTTTCAAAAGAGACCGAAGGAAGAGGAATGGGATCCAGAATATACCCCAAAGAGCAAGAAGTACTTCTTGGTGGGTGTTAGAAATCTGTTTTATTTGGTTTGTGTTGATTTTCCAAACATCCTAGGTGAATACATTTCAGTACAGATGTTCACCATTAGGAGATTTTCATTGTAACTTGGGCGAACATTTTTTTTTTTATATATATATCATTACTTAAATTGTTTGAAACTTTAAATTCAGTTATGGGTCCCTTTAGTTCTGATTATATGCTTTACTTAACATCACACAGTGGACTGCTCAAGGTAAATTAAAAATTGCCTGATTTGATTGCCACATTCAGAAAGGAAAAAACCATACTATAGTTGAGTTTAACATCTTTCATATCTGTATAGAAGACACTTCTAAGTGTAGAAACCTCTTAATTAAATTGCACTTTATTTCTTAGACAAAAAAAAAAGCAATGTTCTTCATGGTTCTTGTAATGAAGGATCTCAAGCTTTTCAAAATTCATTGGAATAGTAGGATAGGAAAACTAGATACTGAAAATGCAATTGCTAGATATGTTGGGTTTGGTCCTTGGTTGTGATGGATATGCTTTTCCTGTTCAAGTTGTTTCCCAAGGATTAAAATGGGAGGTTGTGGGTCTGGAAGGAGCTCTGGATAGGATGGTAATTTTGTTTAGTTGGGCATGGGGAATGGGTTGTATGTTTTGTATTATAGGGGCAGATTACTAAGTTACCCAGATGTACCAGAATATTAGTTTTTAATCATAACTTTTCAGGGAAGTAATGTTTCTGAGGCTAGTTTTGAAACTTGTAAGCAAGGCAGTAAATAGAAGTGGTAGATGGTGATCAGATTTGAGTGTTGATAATAGGTTTGCTTAACTAGAGGATAAAGCTATATTCTGAAGTGAATCTGTTTGGAAAGGATCAGTACATTTCTTCAAAATTGGATCTTCTCTCTATCTAGGTTGGGTCTGAAGTGATTAGGAGAGAGCAAGAGTAGATCCAGTGGATCCAGTGTGTAGTTGTTAATGCAGATTTAGACATTAAGACCCAGGAACCGTCCTGTCAGGTCACCGTTAAAGGTGTGATAAGATTATGTATATAAGACATGGTGCTAAAAGGTTCACATGTCAGATACGGGATGAGGACAAATCATTGAAGTGTGAAGTTAGAAAGTTAAGAGACGCCAGGCAGTGGTGGCGCACACCTTTAATCCCAGCACTTGGGAGGCAGAGGCAGGCGGATTTCTGAGTTCGAGGCCAGCCTGGTCTACAGAGTGAGTTCCAGGACAGCCAGGGCTACACAGAGAAACCCTGTCTCGAAAAACAAAAAAAAAAAGAAAAAAAGAAAATTAAGAGACACTAAGACGTAACTAGTAGATTTTAACCACTAGATTTTTTTTCTTCGTGATAGGGTCTCACTAGATTTGGCTGGCCTAGGACTCATAGAGCTCTCTGCCTCTGCTTTTGATTACTAGGATTAAAGGAGGAAACCTGTGGTGTATTTTAACAATTTCAAAAACTAGTGTAGTTTTGAGAAAAGGTCTCAGAACTTCTTGGTATATCCTGGATGTTGACCTTGAACTGATTTTTTTCCTGTCCCCTAAATTCTGGCATTATAGGCATCTGCCACTGCATGCAACCCATATATAATTTAGGCCAGATTTTCTGTTAGTTGTCAGGATGTGTTTTCATGGATCTTTATATATTAAATTGGGACATAAACATTTTAGGTCATCTTATATTAATTATTAATGTGTTATTTTAAGAGTTTAGTTATTTGCTGGGTGTTGTAGTGCACACTTTTAATCCTCTCACTCTTGAGAGTCAGAGGTAGACAGATCTCTTGAGTTTGAGGCCAGCCTGGTCTACAGAGCCAGTTTAGGACTACATAGAGAAATCCTGTCTCTTCCCTCCCCTTCCTCCCCAAAAGAATTTACTTAATAAGTAATGATAGTAATTTGTGGTTATTGTGTATTATCATTTCCTTTTTCTTTTTTCTTTTTTTTTTTTTTTTGGTTTGAGACAAGGTATCTGTATTTAGTCCTGGCTGTTCTGGAACTGGTGGCCTGACTGCCTCTGCGTCTCAGAACGATGTGATTAAAGCTGTGCACCACTGTCTGGCTGTGGGTTGTAATTTTTAATTTTTGGTCTGTATAATTTATGTTTACAGGTATCACAGATAGTCACAGTATTCTTGGTTCTAAAGATTGGATGAGTGATTACAAGTATTTAGAGCAATGTGTTACCATGCCTAGTAAGCACTATAGATTGATTGAATCCTTGCTTGATAGACATTGGACCAAGTGCATTTTACTGAATCTTTAGTGTCCCTTCTAGGCTGTCTCCTTTTATTAGAATGAGGTAAAATCACAGAGAAGTTGGTTTCTGTTGAAGGTGTAATGGCAGGTCCTTTCTTCAGAAGTTGTTTGCCTCTTTCTACAAATTCAAAGACTATTAAAAGCAACACTAAACAAGGCTCTAAAAGTGGACGTTAGTGCTTGCTGTAAGGGAGCATGAAACAGTATAACTGAGTAGACATCCTTTTGAGTGCCTTTCTTCAGGAGTCTGTACTTTGTGTGTAGTCTCAGAAGTCATTCTTCATGGGGTAAAAGTGTCAAAAGATACAAGGTATTAACAGCTGAGAGCTATTCTTTCAAATAGCGTAATACCTACCTACCGGTATTAAGAATTATACATAATTCTAATTTTTAATTTATATAAGAAGTTAATCTGTACAAATGTTATGGACAAAGGCATATTCTGTTTTGAAAACAGCCTTTGTGACACATTTTAAAAGATTTTAGTGAGTTGGGTAGTTTAGTTGCTCAATACAGGAAGACTCATGGAGCAACTCTGCACTCGCAGCTGCCACATTTCTATCTTCAACTCCATGTTGCCTTTCACCAAAAATGCAGTTACCTCCATGTCTGAAGCTCACCAGAAGCACACGTCTGAGTTACATGGCAAATACAGTAATGCTGTATTACAGTGGAGCCATGCTCTTCCTGTACTGAGAACAGTAGCAACACAAACTATAACAGACCATCTTCGTGCAGACAGTTACTCAAAGGAATAGACATCAAGAATCAGGACAGCCAATGCAGTAATTGAACTGTATCAAAATCAACTCAACTCGTGCCAAGTAAAAGTATTACATTCCCACAAAATACAATATATTACTAAAATAAAGCACCCTTGTATTCTGTAGTGCCCTAAATGAGAATTAATTTTTTTCACCCATGACAGTTAAATATTTACCTAACAGTCAGAATGGCATTTTTTTTCTTTTTAAAAAGGAATCTATAATGGACTCAAGATCTCCAGCATCTATCTCTCTCTGCAATTAAATCAAGTTTTTCGAGGAATGCAAATGTGTAATGCCTACATTCATTCAGCAAACAGGAATCTCCATTTCAAAGCTAGCCTGGTCTATAGAAGAAAATCCTGTCTCAATCTCCTCCAGTTAATTAATAAATAAACGAAGTACTGAGTTTTTAAAACTTAAGTTTCAAAAGTTACTCTAAAATTTGAGTCGTTGTCAGTCCCTTTCCTTGTCCTGAGAACTTGTTCACTCAGTTTTTCTCAGTTCTCCTCATACTTGTCTCTCAGGATCTACCTGATACTGAGATCTCCCTAGAACTCTTATTTTTGATTTATCACACCCTCCCGCAAAGCCAAGGTTTACGATGAGAAACTGGAAAATGTAACACACACTCCGCATTATTTAATCAGGGTAGGATAAAGATCATAAATCAGAAATTCGGATTGGAGTGCAGTGCATGATATTAAATACAAATCCCATTTTTACTAGCTCAATAGTTAAACTACTCAGTAGGTGAATTACTGGTCATCTGTGAAAATAGAATAACCAGGCAACATTACTTAACATTTGCACTGTGTTTGTTTCCTTGTCTCACTTGTTATGGGCAGATTTCATTAGTGAGTTAATACGATGGAGACCTTTAGCCTTTTGTACTGTGTTTTGGAATGGGAATACTTCTTTACAAACTATTCAGCTTTGGAGATTGTTTTACTTAATGGGATAGTTTGTAAGTTGGAGTAACTGTGTTCAGGTATATTTATTGAAAATTGAAGCTTGCAATGTAATAGCTTTAGTACTTACTGTAAAAGAGAACAGATGAGATAAATTGCTGTCAGGCTGTGCTGTTATGACTTACCATTGAAACTCCTAGCCTGTAGATTGATGTAAATTCTAAATATGATAGTATTATAATGAGTTTGACTTTTGCAGTATCCTTATGATATTTCTTGGGGAGGTTTTTTGAAGTTCATTACCAGCAGTATGATTAAAGAATTGATATCTTTACAAGAAAGCTGTTTTATTGATGATTCTTTTTAAACCTTTTTATAGCATGATGACAGAGATGATGGTGTGGATTATTGGGCCAAAAGAGGAAGAGGTCGTGGTACTTTTCAACGCGGCAGAGGGCGCTTTAATTTCAAAAAATCAGGTAGCAGTCCAAAATGGACTCATGACAAATACCAAGGAGATGGGATTATTGAAGATGAAGAAGACACCATGGAAAATAATGAAGAGAAGAAGGACAGACGCAAAGAAGAGAAGGTAGGCAGTTTCTTGTTTTTTGACAATTTATTTAGTATGAACTTGGCAGGCAAATGAGTTGATCAACTATTAAAAGTATTAATATTCACTACCCCACAGATTTACTGACTTCTAATTTCTTTTTCCCTTTTTTAGGAATAGTCTCAAGATTGCAACAGAGAGCAGAACTTGACACTTACTTTTTTTTAAATCTGATTTTTGTTTTTAAAAAAGAATGTAAGCATTTTACTTAAAATGTACTGTTTGCAAGTAGTCTATAGAAATTTTGTTTTAAGTCTTCAAATATCTTGAAAAAATAGTAGACTGTATGTTGAAAATTGTATTGAAATAAAGTAGAAAATGTTCAGTATCATATTTGTAACTATAACTTTTAAAAACCTTTGACTGTTTTTGTTACATGCATTGTATTTCTGCTTTGTCTATAAGAAGTGGTCAAGTCCAGCTCTGGGACAACTCTTAACTCGCCTCCCTATTAATACTTGGTTCTGAAGTGAACATTAGCTCTACACAAATCCACACAAATCCTCGAACAGGAATTGTTTATAGTGACCACACTAATTATCTTAACTGTACACATCAGTTTAACATCTTTTAAAATTTGAGCACTACATAGTAGGGTAACTAATTTTTGAAGAATATCACCAAGTTGCTATTATGGTAAACTAGTTTCACACTTCAGCAAATATATAAGGAGGACAGTAGCTTTGTTACTAGCTAAAAAGTGCAAATTAAAAGTTAGATTTGAAAAAGTGGTATTTTTACTGAAAGCAAACAATGAATGGCCTGTAAAATCATTTTGAAGAGATTTTCCGACATGAATTCAAAGTTGAATATTCTCTTCCATTCCCATTTGATAGTTTGAGTCATGGTCTTAGATACCAGCTACCTATGAGAAAGAGAGAGATTGGTTTGTTATATATATCAGTGTAAGTAAAATCCGTATACATAGACCTGATTGTATTTACAAAAAAAACAAAAAAATAAAGCCACAACAAAACTTGGGAGTCCTTTCCATGTGGAGGAAGATTGTCCTGCAGCATCCTGTGATGCACACAGTCATCTGGTACCTCACTGGGTAGCTTACATGTTTATTGGATGCTTTGAACAGCTGTAGATTAGTCCATAATTTAACTACAAGATTAGATAGATGCAACATACTGTTTAGTATATTTAAGTAATTTGTTTTTTCTTAATGTTGCCAATAGAAGATCTTAGCAGGAAGCTTGTAGCATTGATCTAATTGTGTGTACACTCCTTCAATTTAAGTTTATAAAGTGGCCTTTTTCTTGGAGTCTGTGGTTTAGGTAAATAATCTTTCTTTGCTATTTGTTTAATAGCTCTTGAAGGAATAAAGTAAACTTCAGTGCTAAGCATTAATTAAAAAAAAGTAATACTAGCCACATTGTAGCAGATTAGTTGTGTATTTTTGCATTTAAAGAAGACAGTGTTTATTTTATGAATGTGAACTTTTAAGTTTTGATGATTTTACAGTGTCTTCGACCTTGAATAGCTAGTGGCGATTGCTAAAAACTTTTGGCAACAAAAGTAAACTAAAACCAAAGTCAACATGTGAAGCGTTTCTCACAAGGTGGTCAGGAGTTGGTATTGCATGATGCTCCCATTAGTTGTCACTTGGAAATTATTCAGTACATCAGAGAAAATACCTGAAAAGCAACTTTATTGCTTCAATCTGGACATAAATAGTTACTTATGATAACTTTTATAAATAATAGCTCAGATTAACTTAAATGTAAAAGCAACATGTGTTTAATTCCCTAATAATTTTCATACCATTTCTATTTTATATGAATATATAACTTATTTTAACAGTTATTTGGTTATACACTGAATATTCACATGTTTGTACCTGTTTAGCTTTACTTTTTCCACAACAGAGAAAAGTAGATTTGTTGAAACTTACTTAATGAGGAGTAGCAGGCTGTAACCTGTGGTTACTTCCATTTTATAGTTCAAAAATATCCTACTACATCATAGTCAAGGGGTTGTTATAAGAAGTGCAGTAGAATACCACTGTGAGTCTTCCTTTTCAGATCCAAACACAAAGTAGCCTGTGTGTATTCTTTGAGATGACCATTTAATTACACACTTCATGACGTGTTACAAAAGCTGAGCGGCCCCTCCTCGTAAAGCTGCTTGATTACAAGTGCCAGGAAAAGAACTGTTGTACACTGTGTAGTATATGTTACACGCTGCATACTATCTGTTACACACTGCATACATGTACTTCCTTTACCCAGAGGAAAAATAAAAACGACTTAAAGGATTTTCCCAGAAAAAAAAATAAGAAAGTGATTTTAGAAGGCCATGACTTAATTCTTAAGTTTGTATGCTTCAACGTCTTAGGAATTGTAATATAAAAAGCAAAGTCTTTCCCAGTTACACTCTATTTCAAAGAATTGTTACTGTTCCCTTTCGTCAACAGTTAAAATCAGTGTTGGGAATTAAATTATAATTTGAGAGGAAAACATTATCCAGTGAGAATGAATGTAGATGGCTAAAGGATTCTTCCTCAGTGTGGTGTGTATTTCCACAGGGACCCTTGTAAATTGTCATATGCCAATAAAACGTCCTAAGTGGTAATAGCTGGTGTCTGGTTACCTGACTTTGAGGCTATTGCTGCTTGAACTCTGTCCAGCTGATTTCTATGGCCTGTTTCTAGAGTTTGGAATATCAACTTGTATAAATCTGATATGTGGTTTGATAAATTTTTTAATTCTTTAAAACTGTTGCAATTGCTTTCTTGTCTTCTCCTTGGGAAGATAAGAATGCATGCAGTTTTTAGTGAGCCATTATAAAAAACACAGCAATTCCAGATTCATAGTCCTCAAAGAAGAGAGATCCTTGGAAAGAGTAGGCACCAAACTTTAATCCTAGCCCTTGGGGAAACCAGTTTGAGGTCAGTCAGAGCTGTATCTGTCTTCAAAAGAAAAAAAAAAGTCATTTGTAAGATTTTGATGGACTCCTCTTTTGTTTTGAGGCAGAGTCTGATTTGTCCCAGGCTGGCCTTAAACTCAAGCATATAGCCGAAGATGACTTTGAACGTCTGATCTTTCTGCTTCCACCTACCTGTGTGTTGGGATTGCAGTGGTGGGCCACTATACTTTATGTTGTGTTTGGAATTGAACTTGGGCTTTTTGCATGCTGGGCAAACACTATACTGAGTCATATCCCTAGCTAGCTGTCCTCCAAAAAGTACAGCTAATCAATAACTGAAGAGTTAGTCTTTGTTGTCTTTAAGATCTGGTACAATTGAAACATTTCTCTTAAAAATTACTGGAAATACAAAAGAAAGTTTGTGTGGTCTGTGCCTACAAAGGCCAGAAGAGTGCATTGGGTTCTTTACAGTTACAGACAGTTGTGTACCACCTTATGTGGGTCCTGGGAACTGAACTCGTCTTCATGTTCCTTTTAACTCAGAAGCCATTTCCCTATTCTGAGAAATTGACCACTTAACCCAGTTTTTTGAATGTGTGTTATTTGTATAGTTGTGTGTGATGTGCAAGTGTGGAGGGAGATCCAAGCACAAGTTTTGGAGGGCATAGTTTTGTCCTACCCTGTTGGTCTCAGGTTGTTAAGTTTGATAGAAATTACCCTTCCCCACTTGCCTCCTTGCTGGCCTAGGAACTGACAACTTTTAATAACTTCTAGCCTTACATTTTGAAGCAGGTCTTGCTGTGTAGCTCAAGCTGTCTTGGAATTTCTGGATGCATTTTTGGAGTCTTAGGTTAGAGGTGCACACCACCATCTCTAGATGGTTAGAAGTCTAACACTGTCATGACAGACAGGCTTGGCAGCAGGGAGGCATGGCACCCACCCCCCCGCCCCCCGCCCCCAGCTGAGGGCTTATGTGAGCTGCAAACCGGAAGATGAACAGAGGTTGAGGCTTTTACATCTCAAAGCTGGCCCCTGGTGACATGCTTCCTCCATCAAGCCACACCTCTTAAGCCTCCCCTGACAGCCAGTTGCAAATCAAGTACTCAAATGCCCGAGACTTGGGACACACTTCTCATTTAGGGGACCACCGAATACAAGGGTGCTTTATTTTAGTAATATATTGTATTTTGTGGGAATGTAATACTTTTACTTGGCACGAGTTGAGTTGATTTTGATACAGTTCAATTACTGCATTGGCTGTCCTGATTCTTGATGTCTATTCCTTTGAGTAACTGTCTGCAGGAAGATGGTCTGTTATAGTTTGTGTTGCTACTGTTCTCAGTACAGGAAGAGCATGGCTCCACTGTAATACAGCATTACTGTATTTGCCATGTAACTCAGACGTGTGCTTCTGGTGAGCTTCAGACATGGAGGTAACTGCATTTTTGGTGAAAGGCAACATGGAGTTGAAGATAGAAATGTGGCAGCTGCGAGTGCAGAGTTGCTCCATGAATCTTTGCAGAAATCATGAAGAAGTGTGAACCTTGAGAATCTTTGAGAAAAAAAAATCTCCAAAGAGGATGACGTATTGAGTTTTCTCTCCCCGGGGTTTTGAAGGCGCTTCATTCCCATTAATGTTTACCAAACTTGTCTTTCACAGTGACTGTGAATGTTGATTTTCAAGGCTATGATGGAACTTCAGTGTATCCCAGTGGCTTAAAGTTACTGGAGAAGGGGCTGGAGAGAAAGCGCAGTTTAACAGCTTAATGTTCTTGCATTAGACAGGGGTTTGGTTCTTACTGCCCATATAGTGGCTCATGGTTATGTAATCTTGTAATCATTGTAATTCTATTTCTGAGGGATCTGATCTCACCTGGTAAGGGCTGCTGCAGGCACTTGCTATAGTACACATAAACACAAACAAAATATTTAAATGTTACTGGAGCTTGGACAATTATACCAGTTGGCTATTCCACTAAAGAAAATCTTTCCCCAGTAACTCTTTAACTGCCTGTGTAGAAATCCTCAAGGAAAGACAGGGCATCATGAGCTTCTTCCTCACTCAGAGACAAAGTATTGTCAGGACCAATCTTGCCCTGGTCATTAGGTAGTATCGCTGCTCTACAGACAGTGGGACTTGGGAGAGTTGGGTCTATAAATGAGACAGATTAAAGTCTCATGTGATAGCTAAGTTTATTCAGAGCCCCAGATAATTTACTATGAGGGTTGAGAGAAATCACATGATTAAAGTTCTTAACAGTTATGCTGTATACAACCTCAAGGATGAGCCGTGCATGACCAAAACATTGTTCCATAGATGCACAAACATTTAGCAACAGCAGCAAGCAATAATGAGTTATTTGGAGTAAACTCACCTATTCGCTATACCCTGGAGAAGCATGAAAACACGTTGTAAAAACTGTCCTGTGTTTTGAAGAAACATCACAGAATTGCTTTCTTGGAGTATTCTCAGGAGTACTCAGAAGTCTCACAACTTCATTCCTTGACAGTTCTGACAGGTAAGTAATCACAGCTGCTAACAGTTGGGTAAAAAGATCACGAGTTTGAGGCCAGCTCAACTGGGAACCATCATGTGAGGCGTGAACACACACACTGAAACAGATTTATGTAACCCAGACTGGCCCCCAGGTGACCCAAAAGAGATTTCATCTTCCCGCTTCAGCCTCCCAGATGCTGGGATTATAGGCCTGTGTTTGTACCTAGCTATTAAAACATTTTGCTTGTATTTGAAAACATAGCTGGCATGATGTAAAACGAATGAAGGCTGGGAGCCGGGCGGTGGTGGCGCACGCCTTTAATCCCAGCACTTGGGAGGCAGAGGCAGGCGGATTTCTGAGTTTGAGACCAGCCTGGTCTACAGAGTGAGTTCCAGGACAGCCAGGGCTACACAGAGAAACCCTGTCTCAGAAAACCAAAAAAAGGGGAGAGTACTAAACAGTTGGTTTTGCAGAGACCTCAATTCTAATTCTCAGCACCCACATGGCAGCTCATAACAATAAATTACAGGGAATCCAATAGGCATACACATGGTACATATTCATACATTGTCAAATCTGGAGAAATTTATGGTTTATTTTATGTGCATTGGTGCTTGCGTGCATGTATGTGTGATGAAACGAGCTACAGAAACGAGTTACAGATAGTTATGAACTGTCATGGGATGCTGTCAATTGAATCCAAGTCCTTGGAAGAGCAGCTGGTGTTCTTAACCACTGAACCATCTCTCCACCCACCAGAGAAATTAAGGGTTTTTATGCCCTTCATGGCCATATACACTTGTGTACCCTGTACATTCTGTGTCTACAGAGGTGAGAAGAGGGGTTCTCTTCACCACAGGGCTGGCTGTGAGCCGTTGTGTATGAGCTGGGAATTTGATCCAGGTCATCTGGAAGAACAGCCAGTGTGTTTTTCTTACTTCGGAACCATCTTACCCTGATAGCTTTTCCTTTTATTGGGGGACTTGCTAGACCACAGAGTCCTCATTCCCAAGGACCCACTAGTCAGCTCAAATGGCTCAGACACAGGTAACCTGTATTCCCTGGCACAATTCTCCCAATTCTAGTTGTTGATGGTTGCTTGCTTCCTTTGGAACTCACTGGATGTCAGGATAGAGGTGATCAGAAGGGAGAAATAGGAAAAATGGATGGAGGGTACAATTCAGGAGGAAGGATAAATACTAAACATGTTTGAAAAAGCCACAAGGAATAATTTTATATTTACTAAGTTTACATATGCAGAAAGTATATGCATACATACCTGTATAGTTTAAATGAAGTTATGCCACTTGGAATGCTAATGCTGCCCATTAAGAGCCGTAGACTAAGAAAAACCCAGTGCCGGGCATGAGAACCTTCCCTTCAAGCTGTTGGTCACTTGAATCTAAGAGACTCCAAAACCAGTTTAGGCTACTGCTGGCGCCCTCAGTGGCCTCTCAGAAGACATCACACACTTGGGACAGATTTAGGAGCATTGTTGATCTGAACATAGGTGAGGCAAAGTCAGCTTTGTAAGGCCAACTTTGGTAATTCTAGATCATGTCCCAGAAAGTCAAAACATCGTTAATGACACATCAAAACAACCACATTCCTCCAGAGAGTTTATGCAGTTTTGGTTTCTTTTCAGAAATGCTGTATTTATGCTGACCTTTTTCTAGTTTGTGTTTTTTTTATTCTAGATTACTTCGTGTGTTTCACTTACACATCATATGCTTTATTGTTAGCTAAAATTGTTAAGATTAAGGAAACATTCCTTTTTAAAAAGATTTATTTATTTAAATGAGTGCACTGCAACTGTCTTCAGACACAACAGAAGAGGGCATCGAATCCCATTACAGATGGCTGTGAGCCACCATGTGGTTGCTGGGAGTTGAACTCAGGACCTCTGGAAGAGCAGTCAGTGCTCTTAACCACTGAACCATGTTCCAGCCCAAGAAAACGTTCCTAACAAAATGTATTTAAGAATTCTAAAATTTTATGCCCATGTCCTCATGGCTTGTCAAATATTTAGAATTATTTAACTGAGGTTTTGTAATTTAAATACATTACTACAATTAAATATCAATATGTGAATTGGATTGTGGTGAGCATAGATACACGACCAATTGTGTTTGACTCTGCTTTCATAATCTTGCTGTCAATGCAAAAAAGGGTTTTTGTTTTTGATCAATTAGAACCTTTTTGCTTTTCACTAGCTTTGAAAAATTTGAAAGGTAAAGGTGTAAAAAAAAAAAAAAAGCCTTAGTGCCAGCGAGATGGCTCAATCAGCCTGCTACCAAACCTGAGGTCTCAAGTTCTATCCCTGGATCCTACACAAATTGACTTTCAAGCGGGTACTATGGCATGCACGCACTAAATACATGTAAACAACTAGATTGGATATTGTGGCTCAACATGAGCAATCCCAGTATTTAGTATACGGCTAGATATTTGAGTAGAATGACTAATCAATTACAAGTTGGCAGATACTTTGTTGAACGTTGGGAAGGCTTGACACCTGTCAAAGGACAGAGTGAAGCAAAAATTCCAAAGGCAGAGAATACCAAGAGGATAAAAACTGGGCGCACGCTGCGCATGTTGCGCACGCGCATTCCTGGCGCGACTATTGGCTCTTGGCCTTCCAATCACAGGCGGTGTCCTCTAGCGTCATCCAATGGGGATAGGCTCCGAATTCCGGCCCGCGAAGCTTGAGAATTGAGGCTGAAGGAGGAACTAGCGAGCAGTTCCGGGAAGAAGCTACTCGGCCGCAGGCGGCTGGCGGCCGCTCTGCCTCTCATCCCGAGAGCTTTCCCGGCCGCCTGGCGGCATGCAACGCAGCGGGACGGTGAGTGGCACTGGCTACACCAGGCCTCGGCGGGCGATGAAGGACAGGCGGTGACGGACGGGGCACAGGCGGCGCTCCTCGCGGGGTGAAGAGAGCGGTGGGTCGATTCTCTCCAGGGGCAGCAGAGCTCCTGGGATAGTGAGCTTGGCTGTTGCTCATTTGCTCGTAAGAGTCTCTTTACACACACTGGGTAAGATAACGTAACTTAGCAAAGTTTCATTTTTAGTGTTCACTTTCGTTTTCTCTTCATCTTTCTTCAAAATAAAAGCTCTCCAGGAGCAATCACTTGATGGTGTAATGTGCCATAAAAGGTCTCTGTGGTTTCTTTAGTGCCGTCTACGTGGCAGTTACTTGTCAAGAGTAATAATTGATAATTTCTCTTCTAAGGTACCAATGAACAATATTTTCTTGAGGTTGTTTCACCAATGTCTTTCATTCTGAATCTATTAAGAAACATGCTGGCATATTTTGGTGTTCCCGTAGACCAGGTAAATGTCTTTTATTAATTTTGCTAACTTTAATTTTGGGTCTCATGTTATTGTCATTGTTTTGAGACAGGATATCATGCAGCTTAGGCTAAAAGTCTGGATTTTGCTGATACTCTTGGGTCTCATTATTGTTCTTTGAGCCAGGGTGTCATGTAGCTCAGGCTGCCCTTGATTCTCCTCTCTCCACCTGCCGAGAGCTGGGATTACAGATGTACATTAGTAGGTTGGGTTTTGATGTGTCATTTTGAACATGTTCTCTGCCCTGATTAGTTTTTATTGCCAACTTGGTATTAGAGTCCTCTGGGAAGAGGGATCCTCAAGAAACAACTTAGAGTAGATTGGCTTGTGACCCTGTCTCTAAGAGGTTGTCCTTACTGTTCATAGCTGTGGTAGGGCCCAGCTCTGTGGAGGATACCATCCTTGGGGAAATGAGTTCTGAGCTGTATAAAAAAGCTAGTTGAGCCTGAGCCAGGGTTTCTGCTTCAGTTCCTGCCTGACTTCCCTCAGTGATGAATCTGACTGAGAAGTTGTGCTGGCTAGTCTTATTTCAACTTGACACAAACTATAATGATCTGAGAGGGAACCCTGATTGATCAGCCTCTGTAAGGTCAGGCTATAGGCAAGTCTGTAGAGCATTTTCTTAATTAGTGATTGATGAGGTAGAGGCCAGCTCATTGTGGGTGGTGCCTAATTTTTATAAGAAAGCAGATGGACCAAGCCAGTTATCAGCACTCCTCCATCAGCTCCTGCCTTCAGGTTCCTGCTCTGAGTTTCTGTCCTAACTTCCTTCTGTGATGGTTAGTGACATTTTTCCTCCCCATGTTGCTTTTGGTAATGATGTTTATCATAGCAGCAGATAGACAACAAAGTCACACCACGTGTGGTAGTACAGGCCTATAGCCTCAGTTGTTGGAGAGACTGAAACAGGGCTTGAAAGCTCAGGGTCACCTTAGGCCACAGAGTGAGTTGAAGACCATCTTGGGCAATTCCATCTCAAAATAAAAGGTCATGAAGTAGGGCTAGGATATATAGATCAGTGGCTCAGTGGTAGAACACTTGTCCAGCCTGAGCAAGCCTCCTAAATTCAATCCCAAATTCTGGAAGGAAAACTTCTATGTAAACATTGAATTCTTCTCTTTAGGTGGGAGAAAGATGAGGTTGCAATAGTGTAACTTTGATAGTTTTGGTTTAGTGATGATGGCAAGGTGTTTAGTGATCTGTTTACTCTCATAGGTCAAAGCCCAAAAAGATACAAAGGGATAAAGTGTGGACATGATCACCACAGAATTATGGTTGTTGTATACAGTTTTTAAAATCCTTTTGCATTTGGGAGGCTGAGGCAGGTGGAACTCTGAGTTCCAGGACAGCAAAGGCTACACAGTGAAACCTTGCCTCAAAAAATTTTAAACAATTTAAAAAAAAGTAGTTTTATTTAAGATAATTTATGACTGTGTTTGTTTGGGTATAGTATGAGAGCACAAGTTCAGTAAACCTAGAATAAGTCTGAGGGAGAAAAGATGACTCTGAGATTGACATGTACACGTCAGGCTTGTCTGCTTGTTGAACATGTGCATCTCAATAGTCTTGGTTCAGTAGGTGATACAGAGGAGCAATGTATGGTTCTTGTGCTTATGACGGTAAAAACATGAGCAAGGCATTGTGGTTCATTTCTTTAATCCCAGCACTGGGAAGGTAGAGGCAGGTGGACCTCTGTGAATTCGAGGCCAGACTGAAAATAAAATAATTCTGTTGCTTCTTCATAGCTGCATTTTTTTTTTGCTACTGTTATGAATTTAATGTAAATATCTGATGTGTGATCCCCCACAGGGGTTGAGACCCACTGGTTGAGAACTGTTGACATAGAGTTCCAGAATAGCCAGGGCTACACAGACCCTCTCAAAAACACAGACACAAACACATACAAAAATATTTCTTATGAGTAAGAAATACTTAATACTGGGTGGCTTACAAAATGGCAGATTATCCATAAAGATGGTGGAATGAATTAGAAAAAAATATCAGGGATAATGCTAAGATTTTAAACAAAAGTAAGTTGAAGTATGATGCTGCCCAGATGAAAAGACGATAGCATAACGGATGAGTTTGATGAGAGGAAATAAGTAAGCCAGAAAAAGTATTCTTGGGATTCATTATTGAAATGTCCTGCAGACAATTGGACATGGGAGTCTAGAAGGGCCTAAGAAAGAAAAAACATCCAGATTAGGAAGTTTGCTCTGTTCTGTCGATGTCTAAAGCCATGGACTTAGACTAACAATGCAGGATGTCCTTAGATGATGCTGAAACATTGTAAATATCAGCAATAGTGAGACACATGAAAACAAGGACCAGCAGCTGGAGATTTGCTTATCATTATTAGGCATTTAACAATTTCTGTTGTAACTTCTGAATTCAGAAGGCTGAGGTAGGAGAGTTGTTCTTGCACAACTTTGGGGTTGACCTGACTGGGTTTATAGTGAGTGGAGAAAGGACAGACATGTGACAGAAAAGCATGGATGGGGTGGGCCATGCTTACACACAACTGAAGGAGAAGAGTGTTAGGTGATCTTGGAGTGGGATCTCTTTAGGTGAGCTGTAGCAAGCTGTAGTTACCAGAGAGGAGGATGTTGTGGTTGATACTTTTTGTATGGTCTGAGGCCTTCTTACCCTTGACCATGCTCATGTCAACAATACACATTCACTCACGACTTGGTCTGTTTGCTACAGAGTCGAAAGTTCAAGGCTAGCCTAGGATATGTGAGAGGACAAGCCTGATGTCAGCTAATATGCCAACTCAGACAGGGGAGATTCCACATGGTCCCAACCCTACAGGGAGAGTTATAGGTGGTCAGTGTCTGCTGAGAGAGGAAGAAGCAACTGAGGAATGAACTCCCCATAGCTTGTGCCATCCCAAGTGGTCAGCCCTGGACACATAAGCTAAAGGGACTCGGTTTTGTATACATATGTGTATATATCATATATATGTATGTGTACATGTGTATATATATATGTACACACATATGTGTATACATTTATTAATACTAATTAAAGATGGTCAAATATTTATACCCAATCTGAGGTTTCAACCTTGCCTTTTACCGTTTAGTTCCCAGATGAAAGACACACACAAATTTTATGTTTATAGTAAGCCTTAACGAGCACTAGAGCTGAACAGATATCTATCCTCTATGCTATTAGAATCTACTTTCCTATAGATAACCCCAGGGTATTACTTACTGTGTTTCATCTGGCCTGCTCTTAACTCCAGTTGGCCAGCCCTCAGGGCTAATCCATGGATTCTTTTCCGTCTTTGCCCTCTTCTCTCTCTCCTCCTGGTCTTTTCTACCCTCTCTGGTCAGGAACACCACACTGCCTATCTCAATTCTGCCCAGCTATAGGCTATAGACATCTTTATTTACCAATCAGAAATAACTTGGGGACAAGATCATACAGTGTCACTTGGGTCTATGTGCTGACTTCCTTATTTCAGAGGCAACCAGGTCTTGAGGGCCCGCCCTTAGCATTACAGTACACAGCAAAAGACCAAACTGCAGCAGAAGAGACCATGCATGTGGGACAGTGGCATGAGTGAGGGAAGTGGGGCAGGAAAAGAAAGCATGAAAGTGCGGTAGATAGAGTTGGCACTCGCGTAGGATGTTACCCTTCAAACAAACAAATAACACCAAACAGGAATAAAGCCAAACATGCCCCAAGAAAGAATCTCGAATCTCAATCTCAACTTCTCTCTCTCTCTCTCTCTCTCTCTCTCTCTCTCTCTCCCCACAACCCCTCTCTCCCCTTCCCCCTCCCCCTCCCCCTCTCCCTCTTTTTTTCTCCCCTCCACCGTCCATGAGTCAGGGTTTCTCTGTGTAGCCCTTACTGTCCTGGAACTCCCTCTGTAGACCAGGCTGGCCTTGAACTCAGAGATCCTCGTGTCCCTGTCTCCTGAGTACTGGGTTTAAAGGTATGCTTCACCACTGCCCCTAGAAAGAATTTCTGTGGGTGGAGATAGGATTGGGTTGGAAAAGTCTGAAGTATGTGTGGTGAGAAAGGGAAGTGTCAGTAACCTTCATTTGAAAATATTGGAGAAGAAATTGAGAGAGGCCATCAATTGAAAGGAATCCACTGATCTCTGTTTCCCCAGCTTTGGGATTACAGGAGTGTATCATCATGCCAGCATTTGTACATGGGCTCTGAATATTATATTTAGGATCGCATGTGTCCATAGTAAACGTTGACTAAATTATTTTTCTAACCCCATACTTTAGTGTTTTTTCAAGATAAATGTTAATAAGGTTTACTTCTTTAAGAAAAATACTTTTTTTTATAATTTGAGATTCAACTCATTTGCCTATTTATTTTCAGTTTTTTTTTTAAGATTTATTTTATTTATATGAGTACACTGTAGTAGTCTTCATACTCACTGGAAGAGGGCATCAGATCCCATTAAAGACAGTTGTGAGCCACCATGTGGTTGCTGGGAATTGAACTCAGGAACTTTGGAAGAGCAGTCAGTGCTCTTAACCACTGAGTCAACTCTCCAGCCCCCTAAGAAAGATACTTTTAAGTATATGCTGTTAATGTTTTCTTTGTAGAAATAAAGGTTACTACATCTGTTACATCTTTTTATTTTTTTAGATATATAAACATACTTAAGTGGCATGTATTTTAAACAAAGCTTTATTTATAGGATTTGCTGATTTGTGAAAATAAAAACTATGGGTCAGCTCGGAGTATTGTTCGTATTATTGGGAGAATGCTTCCTTTAGAGCCTTGCCGAAGACCTCGTTTTGAGGTGAGTTAGTCACCATGTGTTATTTAAGCCCTGTGTATAAAGTAACGTAGGCACTCCCGAGGGTACAGGAGAGAAGGACTAAGAAAGAAATGTGTCTGGGTGCCAAGGGCCTTTAGTTTACTTCTACAAACGAATCATCACACATTGTTTCTTTAATTGTATTTCAAGACAGTACAGAGAATGCCTGGAGCTTGTTTTTATCTGAGCTGTGTGATGGATGAGATTAGCCATGGGGAGAAGATGTGGCTATGCCCTCAGGGGGTAGAATAACATTTCTCCAGTTTTTCTTTTGAATATCTACTTTTCCCTTTTCTGTTTTGAACTGTTAACTTATTTACTATGATGAACATGAGGCATGTGTTTTCCCTGATTCTATACCAGGTTCTGACTTTGTTTTTGTTTTTCTTTTAGTTGACACCACATGTGAACTCTAAGGAGTCTGATGATTACGAACTTACGGTTCCATCTTTTGCTGATGTTTTGTGTGTGGTAAATGATGAAGAAGCCAGTTGTCTCAGATTTCGGTAATTTTATGTGTTTGCCTCGGGACATGGGTATAGCCTAAAACTTGAGTTCTTGTAATGTTGAAGTTTGTTCCTAATGGAGATTTTTGTTCTGTTTTTGTAATATGCTGTGTCCTGGTATTTTCTTAATATGGCTGAGTGATGGCATCTCACTTTCTAGCCTTTTTTTAGTGTGTGTATATATATTTTCTTCCTTCCTTCCTTCCTTCCTTCCTTCCTTCCTTCCTTCCTTCCTTC